CATCAAACTGTGCGCTTAATCCTCATTTATTGATTCATTTCTTTAATTCTAATGATAATGCTGAAACTTTTAAGCCCCCCCCCCTCCCCGTCACTCAGCTGTAGGAAATCTGTAAGTACATGTTGGTCTAATGGGGGTCCATGTACTGATCAGCGGGGTCGAGCAGCCTCTCTTTGGTTCCCTCACCTCCACTTTCCGCCCACCGCTGACTGACGGGCCCCCCTCCCTCCCTCCTTCACCCGCTCCGCGACCACCAGGACGCGCAGCCCCTCCCGTGTGGATGACAGGTGAACGTGTACACGCTTTTTTTAAATTTACCTCCTCAGACAGAAGGAACAGAGGCTGACAAAGTGATGCACAAARGCATCAGAACAGGGGGGGCGACACTGAGTAGAGTTGTGAGAAACACACCGCCAGGAAATAAAGAAAAAGAAGCAGAAGAGGCGAAGATGAACTGATTGTTTCCTGAAATTATCCTCTTTTTTTTTGGTTTGCTTGTCTCTTGTTTTCACAGCTTCTGAATGCGCGCGCAGAGCTTTCAGCTGGCGGTAACAGGCAGCGAATATATGGCACCCTAAAAGTGTCAGAGCAGCCTTTAGCTGTGAATGGGCGACACGTGGAAAAGCTGCTTCTCCCTGAGAGGCTTTGCGCTTCTTTGCCAGATCCATCGCAGTGTCACACAGACCTCTCTTCCCCTTTTTTCCCCCCTTCTTGTTCTTCCACACCCCCCTCCCCTCCAAAGCGATCTCCTCAAGGGGCAATGACTGCCTCCATTAATGATTCACGGGCTCAAATAAAAGGGATTTAAGTTGACGTTGCGTCACGTGAGCAGGGCGCATAATACTGCGCGGTGTTATGGCACAGGGAAGAAAACCAGGAGTCCCGGTCTGTGGCCGTATGATGCAGATTATATGCTGGTTACCCCCGCTTTCCGACAGGGGAGTCCTCCCTTTGTAGGTTTCTTGTTGGAAAGTGGAGGAAGAAGGAAAAAAAAAAAAAAAAGAAGGAACGAATGTCGCTCTAGAGGCGCGGGGCGGACTGGAGCGGAGAGGATCCCCGTTTTTTTTTTTCTTCTTCAATTTTTTTTTTGGTCTTGTGGATGTGTACTCGGCTGTCACGGACGGATATGTTTTTCCACGCGGACACACTCAGAGCCCGAGCTTTGGGAGGATGGATTTTATTTTGAGGTATTTCCGCCGATTGTTCATTACTGTCGTGAGTTATTGCTGCGCGCGAGAGAGGTCAGTGCAAAGAGAGAGAGAGAGAGAGAGGGGGGTGATCTGTTTTGATTTATTTATTTTTTAAAGAACGAGAAACCAATAAAAACTCGCATATTTATTAAAAATAGGCTTCACCACGCTGAATATAAAGTAGTGTATTTTTAAACATAACCTTTTCATGGTGGATCAGGTGGCGTTTTCATTTTCACTAAATAAACGCATCACTGATCCTTTTAAATCACAGCAACATAATTTAGAAAACTACACAGCTATAACCATTTAAGCAGCTATTTGGAGATTAAAAAAATAGACCCCTCTTTGTAAATAAAGCAGCCATTTCTCCACTTCCAGCAAAACACTTAACAGAGAGCGCACGGCGGTCCAGGATTCAACCTGTCCCATAAAACCCAAACAACCAGCGTCTTAACACTGTTTTATGTCCGTGTCTGCGCGTAAACGATACATCAAAACGATYTCCATAAATAAGAAAAAAAGAGAGAAAGAACAAAAAAAAGAAGACGAAAGTTAGGAGTGGTGGGCTTGTGTCGTTCCGCCGGGGGGAAATGAGGATATAATGGAAGACGGAGTGCCATCCAGGACCGGGCTGAGGTCACGGCGCTCCAGTGTGATTTATGGGCGCGGGGACTTGGGGAAGATGGTGAGCGCGAGCTAATGACTGTTCGATCCGTTCTTCTGCTTCTTTTTTTTTGTGGGAAAATAGACGCTGAGGAGCAGCAGCAAAACAATAAACACTATATTTGCATAAGGGCCCATTTTTCCCTCATTAGTTTTTTTTTTACGCAGATGAGCTAGAATATTCATCTGGAATGTTGATTTTTGTTTTTAAACCCAAGAGGAAAACATATGTTTTTATTTATGCTTTTTTATATCTCATTACTGCATCTTTTTGCACAGTTTTATGTATTAAAAACAAGATCGTTTTTGGGTTGTACAAGTTGTAAATGCGCGTTTAACCACTGCTTTAAATTCCGTTTTTTTTAAATATTTCAATATTATTCTCAAAATTTCTAAAAATAAATAAATAAATAAAGCATTTCATGGAAATTATTTATTTTTTTATTTGAGCAATAAAACGAGGGGCCTAATAGTAATTGCTCATTAAATTCGAGTAAAGATAATGAATAAAAGCATACAATAAARTGCAAACCACTTTAAAAGTGTTGTTAGAATTAGAATAAAAATAAAAATAAAAATAAATAAAGTGAAGCATTTTGTTGTTTGTACTTCTTGCAGAATCCCAGCCGAGTAATCTCAGGCCATCCCCCGGTCTCGGAAACCCCCTGAGCTGCCTCCGGTGAGTCCATATATCTTTATTGATTTGTGTTATGAATGCTTGATGGTGATATTCTTATTCAATTCCTAATAAGCACCGCACACGCGCACCAAAGGCTTGAGAAGCRGCCCGTGGCTTGTAACATTTCCGTGTAGCACCAATACGACCAACCCGAGAGCAATAATTCCTTCTCCTCCACTTGTCTTTGTGGTGTAATTTGTCACCATAAAAGTGACGAAGGGGAATCGCGGCTCTTGGAGCGGTGCCTTTTACTCATTTCAAAAACTACTTTCTGTGAAAGCCATCTGCTGCAGCCTGCTGCGCTGAAGCTTTTAAAATATAGTTTCTTTTTCTTTTTATTTGTCTTTGCACCTTTTATCAATATTTTTGTTTTGTTTCTTCCCACGTTGCCATTTTCTTTCTTTTTCTTTTTTTTTTTTTTCCTTTTTGCCCCCAGTTCGCCTTTTTACGCGCGACAGAAGCCCTCTCTCCTCAGGGCCAAATTACAAGAGAAAAGCGCGAATCAGCGTTTTAGCGACAAAAATGAACAAAGAAGTAAATAATTATCCAAAAGGGGGAAGCTATTGAAAGAAAAAGGCCAAGTTAGCTAAAAGAAGAAAAGGGGGAAACAAATCCTGGTGTGTGTGAATTTTTCTCCCACTCCACCTCCCACGCGTGGCTTCTACCTTTCTTGAAATTTTGGTAGAATCTTGAAACGCTTGCTCCTGTTTACAGCTGAGCTGAAGTGTGTGTGTGTGTGTKTGTGAGAAAGAACCATAAATCTAATTCTCTCAGTCTTTCTTTGCCTTCCAAAGACAGAGGGATTCCCTCCCCTCCACCTCGCCTCGCCGACACCACCTCTCCTCTTCCACGCTGCGCGTCCTCTCGCTTTGCCTCTTTCCTGATGAAACTTCTGGCCATTTTTCATTCCCCCTCCACACTTTTTTTTTTTGCTCCTACTTGGGGGTGTTTTCCTTTAATATCGAGGACAGCTCGCCTTTGATCTGCAGCTCGGATCAAAAAATGAAGCTCTGGAGAGCCACAGGGTGCAGAAACGACAAAAAAAAAAAAAAAAAAAAAAAAAGAAAAGAAAGCAGCGCGCGTCTTTTAGAGGGGGATGAAAACGGCATATTAATGCAAAAATGCAGGTGAATGATTAATCCGTGGACAGAAGCTCTTTATAAAAATCCTACATGCTCAAAGTATCCCTTTGTATTCCTTTCGCTTCGCAATCTTGAGTTTCTTTCTAACAAACTGCTCAAAATCGACTTTTTTAGTTTGAGGTGTTTGAAAAATAAAAATAAAAAAATGAAAATAAATGTAATGTTATGTTTCCTAGACGCTCTGCCTGRTTTTGGTTGGGGGAGGAGGAGAAGGCAACCACTTGATTTGTACTGCCTTTCCAAGGCGCTACTTCATTTGCATAATTTTTCTTGTCTATGGTGACGCTGTGGTTCGGGGCAGTTCACTGGTGTCTGCATGGTACTGGTGAAGGATCTCACAGTGAAGCAAAGCCCTGGTCGACCTGAATTTTGCTATGAAGCCCTGTCTGTTGGTCTGTGCCATGAGGACAAGTCCAGTTGTGAGACCAGAGAAGTCTTGTCTTGCTGACCCGAGCGCTCGCGCCTRCTTTTGTAATCTCGGTTTGCCCATCCACGTCGAGTAAGGAGGAAAGGAAAAGGGGGGTATCCTCTTTGGCTTTTCCTTTTYGGTCTGTGCCTGCTAATGCTTGCTGAATGGCAGGGCGCAGTCTGCTCCTTCACCCAGTCAGCCCTGCCTTTAAAACTCTCCTCTGGATTACAGCTTTGATCGATTCCGTCGCTGAATGAGAAAATATTGCCCGGTGCTCTGCATTCATCGTGAGAGGATCAGGTAAGCAGGGCCAGAAATAGGCTCCCTCTCGGTTGTAAATGGTRGAGTTTGTGTGTCGCGCGGTGATTTATCACCGTATGACTTAGATCTCGGTTCAGGAAGAGTTCACACACACTCACACACACGCGGATCTGTTTTTTTTTCTTCCTCTCTCGCGCGCGGAACCAAGAGAGCTGCGCTGAACTCAAATTTTTTTGCCTTTTGTCTCCTTTATTATTATTATTATTGCTTTGCCATTTGTGACTGTCGCGATGGTTCGCCACGAACCGAACCCCAGAACSGATTTGGTCCCTCCTGCCGGCCTCCATGAGCGCGCACACGGAAGAGACCAGCTTTCAGGCTGCAGTTTTTAAAGGGGCATGTCTGGTTTTTAAGCTGTTCGCTTCTAAAGACTCCACTTCATACTTTTACACAATTTTAGTTTTATTTAATTATAATTTAAAAASCCTTTCGATTCTCTTAACTTAAGGGATCATTTAATCCAAATAAAATTAATCAATGTTATTTTATTTTCAGAGTATTGAGGTCATTAGATAAKAAACATGTGGGCCTTTTTAAATGAAACGAGCTGGAATATGAATGCATTTAGTAATTGATTTAGTATAGTTTTGTATTTTTTAATTTTGCTTAAAAAATGGTGTGCCATCTGTGATGAAGCGGCGGGTAGTGGTAAATATGAGAAACAGAAG